CGGCCAAATCGCCCTTTGATGTAGCCAAAAGTTGAAGCCCCTTGACCACGATCACCCCTGCAGGTCCAGACATCTTGAGTTTGAGATAATTGTTTTGGGAGGTGGCTTCGAACTTGTTCAAGGTTGCGCGGCTGAAGATTGCATTGTAGTTGTATGGAATGTCGACAACGTCGAACAGTATTTGCTCTTCGCGTATGTTTTCACCTGTGCCGAAGGCTACCACCAACTGTGCTTGGCCTAGGACTTGAACTGCTTCTTCGCCAAAACCATGAAGCGAGGCCAGTGTTTGGGTAAGGGCTAGGGTAGGCAACCCTATCTTGGCGTATGCTTCGGCGAAGATGACATCGGCCGAACTCCCTCCGTCGACTAAGATTTGCCGGACTTCGAAGCCAGCTACCTCGGCCGAGATCACCAGGGAGTCTTGATGTGGGAACATCACTCCTTCGGCATCTTCTGGCCCGAAAAAGATCTGTTGGTTCAAATATTGCGAGGCCCCTTCGCCCGCCGAAGTGATGTTGTGCACCATTCGCAGCTGCATCTTCTTTTGCCTTTTTGACAGTTGATTCGGCGGGTCGGCCCTTATAATCACTTGCATTACTCCGCGCTGCACATCTTGGCGTTGTTCGGCCGGGGGTGCTTGTTCTTGAACGGCTTCGCGGGGTGCTTCAGCAGCTGCTCCTTGTTGCGGTCTTGGATCTTGCGCGTTGCCACGCTGCCGAATGTTTCGGCATTGCTCGGTGGTGTGCGAAGAGCGTTCGTGGAAGGCGCAGTAAAAGTCTTTTCTGACCTTCTTGCGAACAGGTTGCTCATGGCTGCTTGCTTGCTGGGCGTCGAACTCCTTGTGGAGGGCTTGAACTTCTTCGACAGCTATCATAGCCTTGCCCGCACGGTCGGTTTTGAATTTCCTCCAAGTCATGGGAGCTTGGCCTTGCCTTGGCGGTTGTCCTTGGTGCACCGGCTGAGGCTGGCTAACAGCGAGAGGGGCTGGTTCGGCGACCTGGGCTTGTATTTGGGCTTGAGCAGCGGTGACAGAGGCTTTATCATATTCGGCCTGGATTGCTTGCCGTTGCTTGGAATCCTTTTCGCCCCTTGCGTACCCGTCAATGATGCGAAGCAAGTGCTCAAGTGTCTGTGGCTCCTTGTTGGCGATTTTTCTTGTGAGTTCGCCCTCGAGCAGCCCGGCCGAAGCGGCGTTGATGACGGACGCCTCAGTTATGTCCTGAACTTGGCATCGGGCTTGCGAGAAGTGACGCATGTACTCCCTTATCGACTCCCCCGGCCTCTAGCGAATGTCGAGTAGATGTTGCTGCGTCTTCGGCTCCTCGTAGGTGCCTCGAAAGTTAAGAACAAAGACATCGCGCAATTGCTCCCATGAGTTAATGCTGTTAGCTGGTAAATTGAAGTACCAAGAACGGGCGATGCCGTCTAGAGCAAGATGTATTACCTTCGCCTTGGTATTTTCGTCGCCATGAGTGGCTTCGATCGCGGACTCGTAGATGGACAGGAACTCTTTTGGGTCCGTTTTGCCCGAATAGCACGGAACGGGAGGGAACTTGAACTTGGGTAGGATTGGATGGATCTTGATTCCCCCGCTCAGTGGTAGCCCCTTTTCGCCCCTCGCTTTGTTCGCAGCACCTTGCTGCGAATATGGCGTTGCGAAGGGCAAAGTCATGGCTTGCGCGTGAGGTTGAGCCACAGTGTTCGGCTGCTCGGCTCCGAACGGCGATGCTTGGTGTGCCGCCATGGATGGGTCGAACGACGGCTGGGTCCATGCCATGGCGGCCTGGTTTGGCGCCTGGTTAGCTCCGAAGCCTGGTGTCGGTGCCTGTGGTCGAATGGTTGGTGCTTGAGCAGCGTTGGTGAAGTCGAACTGCGGTCCTTGACTCCAAGGCGAAGCCCCCAGATCGGGCTGGCTCGATGGCAACCAACTGGGCGCACCTTGACTTGTGTTCCCCTCCGGTCAGGCCGAAGGGGCTATACCTGAAATGCTGTGGGGTTGGTTGAGTTGCTGAAGGAAAGCTTAAAGCTGTGCTTGCAAAGCTGAAGCCCCTTCCGCCAATGCTTGTGACATTTGGCCCGGTGGTAAGGGGTGTACTTGGGCAGCGATCGGCTGAGCCTGCAGCTGCACATGAGGGGTCGGGTGTATTGCTGCGGCCGAAGGCTGCCCGGCGAAGTACACTGGCGCTTGCATGGCTTGTGGCGGAAGGGGTTGGATTGATGCTTGTGGGTGGACTTGGGGTGGAATGTAACCTGTCGAATATTGGAGGATTGGGGCCGAGGCGACCTTGGCTTGCCGCGCTGCCTCATACACCTGCTGCTGTTCTTGCATTTGACGAAGCATGTCTTGGAGTCATGTCATGTTTTTGCGCATGGCCTCCATGTCAGCTTCGGCCTGTGCTTCGAGGTTGGGGTTGACTTATGCAGCGGCGAGCGCGGTCAAAGCTACAGCCTGTTGCGGTGAAGCAGCTTGGGGCGCCGCTAGTTGACTTGTCGAAAGGATTTCTGCCCTAGTCTGGAGCGCCCTTGCTGCCGCTGCCGCCTTCGCCGCATCGACCATATTCGGCGCCTGCCCCGCTGAAGCGGCAGGAGCCGAAGGTAGTGGTTGCGGCGTAGGGGCCGACGTCGATGGTACCACACCAGCTTCGACGCCGAGTGCCGAAGGCTCTGCTCCCTCTTTGGCTGCCATCTCCACTCTTGTTTCACTCTCCTTATGTCTTGCAACCTTCTCATTTGCGACCTTCTTCGGTGGCATTTTCTCTCAGTGGTTTCGCTCGGAGGTCCCCACGGTCGGCGCCAGCTGTTGTCGAATGGACAACTGCGTCACGTTGAAAGACGTGGTTCTCTCAACAGTGGATGGGAAATAAAAGAACAATTGTATTACTTTGTTCAAATTTTTTGGGATCCCCCTATTACATAGCCCTAGGGGGCTATTTATAGCCCCATTACAGGTTTTCACTACTAGGGTTTAGATTATACAGGGGAATTTACATGGTTACCCTTATGATAGGGACATTATGGAGGGCACACTGTGTCCTTTACACATACGGGCCCCTACTGGGCCTAAATGGCTCGGCCCATCTATCTAGCGAAATCCCCCGAGGGCGTAGCGGCCCACCAGGCCTCCCGACAACAAGGTTCGGTACTTTCACGAAACCCGTGCCTGTGTGCCGAGGCTTTCGGCGCATCATCTTCGCCCGTGCCGCCTTCTGGCAAGGACTCCACTCGGCGAAGCTGGTGTAACCCAAGCCACGGCTTTCGCCCGTATGGCTTTACTCTCAACCTTCGCCGCTTGCCTCCGGAGTGAGCCTGTTGCTTGAATTTTTGGTTTCGGCAGGTTTGGCCGAAGGCCCTTTGTGGTAAGCCTCCAACAATATATACATATAGTTTTACATATTTTATAAAAGTTTTTGAATAAGACGAATGGTCAAACATATTTAAAAAAGTCAATGGCGTCAAACATTTAGAAGCGGAAGCGGAGGAAGTATGATTTATTGCTGCAGCAATGATAGCTGCAAAACAAGAGGATATCTTGGTGACATTGCCTTCTGATACTGTAGATATATAAACCCTAGTTTACTAAATGTGAGAGTATTCCCTAGATTTGGCCACCAGTCTTATCTCGTCCTAGTAGAATCTCAAGCATTTTCCCAGCAATATTTCCAGTCAATGGAGAAGTGGGTAGCTGGTGCCTGGTGGTTGTTTAGGGTAAGCACCACAGCTGGCTCGAAAGAGTCAGAGAGATTTGTCAAGTGATTCTTTTCTTATTTATCGATCACATTTTTAAAACTATTATATATATCAACACTCAACAACTTTATGAAAATCTCATAAAGTTGGGGCTGGGGCTGGGGCTGGGGCTCTGGGACATTGAGACATGGGGACAGATTTGAAAATCTCATGGTAAATTTATGAACAAATTTGAGATTGATCAAATGTATCTATGTGCAAATTGTGGATAAAAAATTGTCAGATGTTCTATTTTGGAGAAGAAATGAAACAAATCATGTTATAATATTGGTGCATATACCTTTTGTGCAAATATTTAATTAATTTACCTTTTGTGTATATATAAGATGTGATTAATTGTCCGTATAAATTTACTACTCTCTTTGATAAAAAATTAAAACCTATATGATTTTTGAATTATTTTGTCTTGGGGTGCGTGACCACGATTTTATGTTTCAACAAGTTTATAAAACACGATGGGAGTTATTGTTTTAATGCTAGATATTGTAGATCATTTAGCACTCGAATAAAGACATGCATATAGGCTTGGATATTCATACTTTTAGACATATGTTTTTTTGTTTGGTTATTATGATTTGTATTATCAAATATCACCCTAAAGATAGTAAAAACAGATTACTACTACATGGGTTTATAATACGGGGCCTCCTACCCCGCGCGTGCGCTCCTTGAGATTAACTCGCGCGCGTGATCAACAATAGGGTAGTGTTTCTCGCTTTTCTTTTCTGTTTTTTTTCTCACTTTTTTTTTGAAAAAAATAACCGCCTGCACATTTTATTCCTTTTATTTAGGATAGGTATGAAAATTTAAGTCAATATTTGAAAACTTTTAACTCAAATTTTAAAACTTTCATCTCAAAATTCAAAATATTCAATTTAAATTTGAAAACTTTCATCTGAATTTAAAATTCAGAACACTCAACTTAAATTTTTTTAAAAACTTTCAACTCAAACTCAAAACTCTCACGTGAAAATTGGAGGTGAAAGATTCAATTTATAAAATATAGAAAAAGAATCACGCATGTGGAGAAAAAATGAAAGATTTCCAAAAAAAAGAAAAGAAAGAAGAAACAGCGAGAAAAAGCGAAAAAGAAAAGAAAAGAAAGCGATAGGGTAATGGGCCGCGTGCGATATGGTCCAGAAACACGCGTTGATAGCGCGTACGCGCTGATTACCAAATTCCTTATAATATCAGTAATAATATCTACCCGTGCAACACATGGGTTTACAGCAATAACAAATTATAGAACAGACCGGACGTCAACACCAACCGATTCCAAATTCCCAAATCTTCTTCCTTGTAGCTGCCAAGATCCCAAGAAGGCAAGAAGTCAATAACGTGCCAGAAACGCCCCTTGTTCCCTCGTGTCCACTCCTGCCCCCAGCTTTCTCCATTCCACCCCATCCTCGACTCGCAAGTACCCAGCTAAGATCAGGGAGCTCATCTCCAGGAGACGGCAATTAACAGGTAACTTCTCTAGTTCTCCTCGTCTCTTCTGCTCCATCTCCGGCGACCAGTGATTCTTGGTGTGCCACTACACTACTAGTGGTACTCCAACAAGTCTGACGGCCAATGCCAACTCAATCGCTGCTTTTCCCCAAAGGCGAATCTATCTGCATCTGGATTACCAAGGTATTTTTGGGCTTTTCGCACATATGCACACATCTTTTACTCTGTTGTTCTACACCGGCGACCTGTCGTTAACTTGTTAATCTGTTCTTGTACAAGGACGGCTAGTGAATAGAAGGGGGAGAGAGAGATGGACGGAGCAGCAGTTAGTGCTGCCACTGGGGTGATGGGTTCCCTCCTTGCCAAGCTATCTGCCTTGCTGGGAGAGGAATACAGGCTTCTGAAAGGTGTCAACTCTGACATTAGGTTCTTGAGAGATGAGCTGACTGCCATCAACAACTTTCTTATCAACATGTCAAATATGGAGGAGAACCTGGGTGAGCAGGAGAAGGAGTGGAGAAACAGGGTCCGAGAAATCGAGGATTGCATCGATTTATTCATGCGCAAATTCAATCATGGGGATGTGGATGCCAACTTTGTCCGCAGGACAGCAAAAAAGATAGGAATGTTATGGTCACGTCATGAAATTGCTAGCCAGATCCATCAACTTAAGGATTGTGTTAACGAAGAGAGTGCCCGTCGTTTGAGGTATAGATTTGGTGAAAGCAATGCCCGCATAGTTGAAATTGATCCTGGACTACCAGCACTCTATGTGGAAGCAGAGAAACTTGTTGGCATCCATGGCCCTATGGAGAAGATCATTGATCTGTTGACAAAACAGGATGGATCCTCACAACAGCTGAAAGTGGTTTCCATTGTGGGCTTTGGGGGCCTTGGCAAGACTACTCTTGCTAACCAAGTACTTAAAAAAATCAAGCATCAGTTTGATTGCACAGCTTTAGTATCTATTTCACGGAGTCCTGACATTAAGAAGATCTTATTTGTTTTGCTTAAAGATATGATCAACAAAAACAATTCTAATGATGAGAAGCACAAAAAAGTTGTTGGGATCAAGGCAGAAAAATCAGATGATGAGAAACAACTAATCAATAAGCTCAGAGAATACCTAACAAGTAGAAGGTGGGCACAAAAATAATTGGTTCTCTTTCATTTACTTTCCTGTTAAAGTCTTCATCTTAAATTTTTCAAGTCGTTTCCATTTGTTGAGGTCCCTTTTTCCTTTGCTGTACAATTTGATACAAGCCAATTCAAAACCCATGTAAATAGAATCATTACTCATATTTGTAATTAATTGTTAAACTTGATAATATAAGACTTTGATGCACTTGACCAAAATTTCTTAAGAACTGTTTTTGCCTTGTACATATTTCTTACTACCATTAGAAATTCAACCCTCACAATGAAAATGTTCATGTTGTTTTGGCATCATTTGGATAATATATAGTACTTTTCTTTGAGAGGATTTGACAGGTAGCTACTTATACTTTTGCACATTTAGTATTGAATTTGTTCTCCAGAAGCAGTATACTATGTTTGCACTGTATCTCTTCAGTAAATTTCATGTTATTTTTACCAATATCTGCCTTGTTAAACTTGACTAATTCACTATAACATCTACATAGGTACTTAGTCGCTGTTGATGATATTTGTGTAAGATCAAAGTGTGTTTTGATTCTTATTCTGTGATGAACAATTGGCATATGTGATTATTGGTTTTGATATTTGGAGATTATCGTCGAAGTGGTTTTGGAGATAATCAATTTTCAGGTGATGATTGGATTCACTGTTATTTTATGTGACCGGTCCGATCGGGCGGAGGTTGCCGGTCAGACCGGCGCTATGTGTGCAGTCAGACCGGCTGGCCCGCGGTCTGACCGGCCGACACTGTGTCGGTTTCGGTTTCGGGTTGTTTATTTGGATATCCGAGTTTATTTCGTGATTATGACTTCTAGGTGGATACTATACGTATGTAATACTATTGTTTGCTGCTAATGAGTCAAGTTGGAGATAGCTTGGTCTCGGAATATGGTTTCTTTGTTTGTTCCATGTGTAGGTGACTTGATGTCTCGGGAGAGTATTTGCGGTGATGGACCGGGAGTCGGCTTGGGGATAAGATGACGTCTGTGGTGGTCAGAGATCATGCGGGATACTTAGGCTAGAATTGATGCACGTGGTTGATGGAGATTCCATATGGCATATGATGGAGGTATTGTGTGCATATGGGATGCGGAGTCGAATTTGGAAGGAGTCCAAATTTGGTACGATTGGTTATGTAAAGTTTGTTTCTTGTACTAGAGGGTTTCCTAAGGTGTTTAGGACTCTTAGTATGAGTTTGGTTCGTGGCTTTAGGCTGCCTACCTTATGTATAAATAGAGGGGGAGCGTGAGGCTTCTCGGAATCGCTTTTAAGAGCGTGGAGTTGATAGTTTAGTTAGGGTTTCGAGTTTAGTCGAGATTTTTGTAAGGAGTGTTGTTGTTGCACTTTGTAAACACAGAGAGAAGCAATAAAGTTGTCATCTACTTTGAGAGTTCTTCGATTTGTGTTTCACCGGGTTTCGGCGGTCTAACCGGCAACACACCGGCGATCAGACCGGCGGCAAGGCGGCGGTCAGACCGGCAGCACTAGGGCAGTCAGACCGGCAGCGTAAGCAGGCAGCAGCAGGCAGTCTCCGCGATTCGACCGATCGATCTACATCGGTCAGACCGACGTTCATCAGGCGGTCAGACCGGCGCATCCACTTCGGTCAGACCGCGATCCGTCGAATTTGAGGGTAACTTTTATTTCCGCTAAAAGTTTTGGTTTTTGGGTATATCAACCATTCACCCCCCCTGTGGTTGGCTTAGTTCTTGTGATTCGATCCTACAAGTGGTATCAGAGCCTTATTTGCTTCTTTGGATTTTAATCGATCTAGAGTTTTTGCCATGCCTGCTTCTAATAAGTTTTCAACTAAGCCTCATGTTTTCGATCGAACGGATTTTTCTCATTGGTGTAGTTGGATGCAATCTTACATTATGGCTGAGAATTATGATATTTGGAGGAAAGTTTCTCATCCTTATGTGATTCCTGAAGGTATTAATACTGATGCTGCAAAAACTGAGTTTGAACAAAATTGCAAAGCTCGCAATATTCTTTTGAGTGGGATTTCTCGTTCGGATTATGATCGTGTTGCTCATCTTCAAACTGCTCATGAGATTTGGATTGCTTTGAGTAATTTTCATCAAGGAACAAATAATATTAAAGAACTTCGTCGTGATCTTTTCAAAAAGGAGTATATTAAATTTCAGATGAAACCTGGAGAAGCTTTGGATGACTATCTTTCTCGGTTTAATAAAATTTTGAATAATCTTAGATCTGTTGATTCTTCTTATGATGCTAATTATCCACAATCTGAGATTTCTCGTCACTTTTTGAATGGTCTTGACATGTCTATTTGGGAGATGAAAGTTACATCTATTCAGGAGTCTGTTAATATGTCTACTTTGACTTTGGATTCGCTTTACACAAAACTTAAAACACATGAGATGAATATTCTTACTCGTAAAGTTGGTTCTAAGTCTAGTGCTTTAGTTTCTTCTTTGACTTCTTTGGATGTTGGTACTTCTTCATCGAAGTCTTCTGTTCTTCCTTTATTTAATGCCATGTCCGATGATCAACTCGAACAGTTCGAGGAGGAGGACTTGGTTTTGTTATCTAACAAATTTTCTCGAGCTATGAAAAATGTTACGAACAGGAAAAGAGGAGAACCGAATCGTTGTTTTGAGTGTGGAGCACTTGATCATCTTCGCTCGCATTGTCCTAAGCTTGGGAGAGGAAAGAAGGAAGATGGTGGTAGAGTCAAAGATGATGACGTGAACAAGAAGAAGAACATGAAGGAGAAAGAGAAGAAGAAGCATTGCATGCAGTGGTTGATCCAAGAAATCATAAAAGCTTTTGATGAATCGGAAGATGAAGATGAGAGCAAAGGTAAGCAAGTTGTTGATCTAGCTTTTATTGCTCGTAATGCAAGTTCTGATGTTGATGAATCTGATGATGATAATGAAGAAAAGCTTAGTTATGATCAATTAGAATATGCTGCTTATAAATTTGCTAAGAAACTTCAAACATGTTCTATTGTGCTTGATGAGAAGGATCATACGATTGAGATTCTTAATGCTGAAATTGCTAGATTAAAATCTTTGATTCCTAATGATGATAACTGTCAATCTTGTGAAGTTTTATTTTCTGAAATTAATGCTTTGCGAGATGTTAATTCTATTAATTGCAACAAATTGGAATTTGAGATTGAAAAATCTAAAAAGTTGGAGTCTTCTTTTGCTCTTGGATTTGCTTTACATGCTCGTATGGTTGATGAGTTGATTTTGACAAAGAACGTTTTGAAAAAAATACAAAGTTGCTTTTTGTGCGAGTTCTTTGGTCAATGCTTCATGTGCAAATAAGGCAAAACAAAACAATGGTGCTTTGATTTCTCAAGATTGTTCAAAGTGTGTTTTGAATGAGGTGAAGTTGAAAGATGCTTTAGAGCGTGTTAAACACATGGAAGAGATTGTTAAACAAGATGAGGTGTCTTCTTGCTCAACTTGTAGAAAACAAAAAGGTCTTTTGGATGCTTGCAAAAATTGTGCTATTCTTACTCAGGAGGTTTCTTATTTGAAAAGTTCTTTGCAAAGATTTTTTGATGGTAAAAAGAACCTCAACATGATTCTTGATCAATCTAAAGTTAGCACACATAATCGTGGTTTAGGCTTTGATCCTTATGCTCATCATGCTAGACATCCTCCTACTGTTTTGGGTGTTGCTAGGAGAGGTGAAATTTTGATTGAAACTGAGCCTAAGAACACTATGTTTAAATCTGCTGGCATCATGTCTTCTTTGAATGCATCTTCTTCGAAATCAAATGTTGTGAATGCAAAACCTTCTGTTGATGCAAAACCATCAATTTCAAAACCATCTACTTCACAAACTTGTCGTGAGAAGTACACTTGTTCTTTTTTGGAAAAGATGGATATTTGGTTGTTTTTGTTTTAGACTTGCCCATAAACAGAAAAAGGAAAGAGAAATTGCTTTTGCAAAATGACGTTAGCAAAAATCGGGTTTTAATTCGAGGACCACGGTTAGACCGACACTGACCAGTCGGTCAGACCGGTCAGTGGTCAGACCACAGTTGAACCGGCGGTCAGACCGGTTGGCAGGCCCGGTCAGACCGCAGGTACAGCGGCGGTTAGACCGGCCTCGGGGCAATTTTGCGCCAAATTCAACTCAGACTTTTGTGAAGCAAAAAGGTAATTAGTCTGATTCTGATTTTGTCAGTGCATTTGTACCTACTGGTTCTACTGGTCGTGTGACTCAGTGTTGGATTCCAAAATTTCTTATTTCTAACCCCAACACGGAGGCCTCGACATCTTCTCGTTTGTAGGTATTTTTGGCGGTATACTCCCCATGAGTGTTCAATTTTGAGATGACGATTGCTTCTCAAGGTAACATCAATTTACTTTTGGATTGACATATTTTTGGTTCTACTTTCTTAATTATTAATTCTTCATGTGCTAGTGTTTGAGGTAGTAGTTTTTGTTAATACAAGTGTATACATGTCAATTCATGAGAATCTTGGTGATATCATTGGCAATTGGATGTCTTTTTCAAAATCTTTGGTTTCTTCTTGATTTTTGTTCGGGGAAAATTGGAGGTTATATTGAGGGGGAGTTAGTGCTTATTCGTGAATCCTTTTGGCATGTTTTGAGGGGGAGTTTATACCTCATGGTTTTATCAAGCAATAATATGACAATGAAAAATTGCAAAAAGAGAGCTTTGTTTTATACATATGGTATTTTCTTGTGCATGCTAACAATACTTTAAAGGTTTATTTGTCTCTAGCATAGCTTGTATGGATTCTAGTCTTTTTATGAGCTTTAGATTTTGCTTTTAAGGGAGATGATGCATGACACTTAAATTCTACTTGAATTAAGTAAATATGCAATGTTGATGCTAGCATATGGTTTGATTTATAAATGCTTTATATATATATATATGCTTTATTGACTTGTTATTCCTCAAATAGCTTTAATTGCTCATTGTGAAAAAGAGAATAAAAAATATAAAAATGAATACCGAATCCTTGGAAACAGTCTTGACGATAAGGACGTATTCGATGTGAGCAAAATAATGGGTGCCGAATCACTGGAAACAATCTTGACGACAGGGACGTACCTGAAATAAAAGAGAAAAATATGAGCAAAAAAGCTCAAGAAAAGGTTGAAAAAAAATTCTCTTGGTTGTTTTGTGCTAAAAAGGTTATTTGATAAAGAGTGATAAATGCAATAGTTATATGTGTTTAGTGTTTATTCTTCAACCTATGTGCTTGTTAAGATGTTGCATTATAAATCGTATGAAATCATGAATTTTTGATTATTGATTCAAGCTTAATTGTAAAATCTTTGGTTCATGGTTATACTTTAATGCATGCTTGTTCTGTTATAGATGGGTTTATCCTTCTTTTTATTGCAACACATGACTTGATATGCTATATGTATGCTAAGCTCTTATACATTAATGAACATAATTCCTATGCTTGATGAAATCATTGTCAAAAGGGGGAGAAGTAAGGTGAAATTTTTTTGGTTTTTTAAGGGGAGAACAGAAGAGTTTTTTAGAAGAGAATGTTTTTTGGTTCAACTGGGAATTTCTTTCTTTTAAAAAGGGGGAGAAGTTTTCTTTTGGATTTTTGAGCACGATGTGTACATTTGTACAAAGTGTGCTTTTTACCACTTTTGTTTTTATTTTTCCAAACACCGAAACATTTTTTATGAGGTTTGCCAATGTGTTCATCGAGGAGGAGATTGTAAGATCAAAGTATGTTTTGATTCTTATTCTGTGATGAACAATTGGCATCTGTGATTATTGGTTTTGATATTTGGAGATTATTGTCGAAGTGGTTTTGGAGATAATCAATTTTCAGGTGATGATCGGATTCACTGTTATTTTATGTGACCGGTCCGACCGGGCAGAGGTTGCCGGTCAGACCGGCGCTATGTGTGCGGTCAGACCGGCTGGCCCGCGGTCTGACCGGCCGACACTGTGTCGGTTTCGGTTTCGGGTTGTTTATTTGGATATCCAAGTTTATTTCGTGATTATGACTTCTAAGTGGATACTATACGTATGTAATACTATTGTTTGCTGCTAATGAGTCAAGTTGGAGATAACTTAGTCTCGGAATATGGTTTCTTTGTTTGTTCCATGTGTAGGTGACTTGATGTCTCGGGAGAGTATTTGCGGTGATGGACCGGGAGTCGGCTTGGGGATAAGATGACGTCTGTGGTGGTCAGAGATCTTGCGGGATACTTAGGCTAGAGTTGATGCACGTGGTTGATGGAGATTCCATATGGCATACGATGGAGGTATTGTGTGCGTATGGGATGCGGAGTCGAATTTGGAAGGAGTCCAAATTTGGTACGATTGGTTATGTAAAGTTTGTTTCTTGTACTAGAGGGTTTCCTAAGGTGTTTAGGACTCTTAGTATGAGTTTGGTTCGTGGCTTTAGGCTGCCTACCTTATGTATAAATAGAGGGGGAGCGTGAGGCTTCCCGAAATCGCTTTTTAGAGCGTGGAGTTGATAGTTTAGTTAGGGTTTTGAGTTTAGTCGAGATTTTTGTAAGGAGTGTTGTTGTTGCACTTTGTAAACACAGAGAGAAGTAATAAAGTTGTCATCTACTTTGAAAGTTCTTCGATTTGTGTTTCACCGGGTTTCGGCGGTCTAACCGGCAACTCACCGGTGGTTAGACCGGCAGCAAGGTGGCGGTCAGACCGGCGGCACTAGGGCAGTCAGACCGGCGGCGTAAGCAGGCAGCAGCAGGCAGTCTCCACGGTTCGACCGATCGATCTACATTGGTCAGACCGACGTTCATCAGGCGGTCAGACCAGCGCATCCACTTCGGTCAGACCGCGATCCGTCGAATTTGAGGGTAACTTTTATTTCCGCTAAAAGTTTTGGTTTTTGGGTATATCAACCATTCATCCCCCTCTGGTTGGCTTAGTTTTTGTGATTCGATCCTACAATTTGGAGTGCATCTGCATGGGAACATGTGAAGTTAGCTTTCCCTGACAACAATCTTTGCAGCAGAATAATTGCAACCACGCGGAATGCTAATGTCGCAAAATCATGCTGCTCTGGTTTTCAACACTATATTTACAATATTCAACCTCTAGATGAGCAAGATTCCTATAAGCTATTTCTCAAAAGGCTTTCTCACACGGAGTCCGATTTTCCTTCTCACCTGGGGGAATTATCTCATGCAATCACAAAGAAGTGTCATGGTTTGCCATTAGCTATCATTTGTGTTGCTAGTCTGCTAGCTAATAAACCAGAGACAAAAGACCAATGGGAGCATGTTCACAATTCTATCAGTTCGGCATTTAGTTCACAGATAATGAAGGATATACTGCTGCTTAGCTATTATGACCTTCCATATCATCTGAAGACTTGCTTGCTGTATCTTAGTATATTTCCAGAGGATTACTGGATTAGTAAAGTAGATCTGTTATTGAGATGGATAGCTGAAGGATTCATTCCTGAAGTGAAGGATCAGGCATTGTATCAAGTTGCAGAGAATTACTTTAATGAGCTTATAAACAGAAGCATGATTCAGCCAGTCAACATCGACTATGATGGTAGCGCAAATGCATGTCGAATGCATGATGTAATGCTTGAGCTGATCGTATCCCTGTCTGAAGATGAGAACTTCAATACATTAGTAGATGGGAAGGTGTATAAATGTTCTTCTAGCAATATTCGCAGACTCTCCCTCCAATCCAGCTGTGTGGAAAATGATGTGATGCAGGATTTAATGAACAAGTGCTCACATATTCGCTCTCTTAGCTTCTTTCGGGAAAATAAAGAAACACCTCATCTCCCAAAGTTCCGTTATCTGAGAGTATTGATATTTGAGGATTGTGATAGCTTAGGAAACCAACATATTAAATATCTCAGATTCTTTTGCCAATTAAAGTTTTTGAGAATCAATTCTGAAGGTATCACTGAGCTTCCGGATAAAATTGGCGACCTGAAAAATTTACAAACACTGAACATACATGGAAGTAAAATTGGAAAACTTCCAGCAGCCATAGGCCATTTACAAAATTTGTTGTATCTACATGTTAATTCTGATGTTGAATTACCTGATGAGGTTGGAGATCTACAAGCTTTGCAGGTGCTGTCAGATGCTTTCTCTTATAACTCTATTAAATTCGTGGAAGAGCTTAGGCGGCTTACTAAGCTAAGGTCGCTTCACATTGGACTACATTCCAGTTTAAAACTTTGTTATCATGACATGAGAACGTATGAGGAAGCTTTGAAATCCTCTCTAACTGTGTTAGGTAAACACAGTCTTCGATCACTAGTAATTTCACGTGCTGATTGCCTGGGTGATTACCTGATGGATCTATTATGTGACACTGTCCCTGTCTCCAAGTACTTGTAATGTATGGCCCCTGGAATGGCATGCTTTCTGAGAGGATAGCATCTCTTGATAATCTGTCTTTTCTTGCCATTTGTGCCAGAAGCATTAAACAGAAAGATCTTTGGGTGCTTGGGGGCTTGCCCTCACTGCTGAAGCTTGAGCTACATTTACTCTATGGCCCTGATGAAAGGCTGATTATCAGCAGTCAACTATTCCAGTGCTTGAAGAAGTTCAAATTGAAATATGAATTGGGTGGTGGACTAAGCATGGTGTGTGAAAAGGAAGCAATGCCAAAGCTCCAAATGCTACACCTTCGGTTTAAAGCAATGGAAACGAAGTCCAATACGGGTTTCGAGTTGAGGCTCGAGCACCTTTCAAGCCTGCGGCACCTCAGTGTCACAGTTGATTGTGATGATGCCACTAGAAGGAGAGTTGAGGCTGCCGAAGCCACCATTCGGAACACAGTGAGAATCCACCCTCGATGCCCCACTCTAGAAATCAAAAGGAAGTGGGAAAGCGATATGGTAAAGGATGAGGATGAGGATGAGATGGAGAGACGGGAGTGCACTATAGAAGAGGAGGAGGTTCAGCATCAGGATCCATAACAGTTTGTCTTGCAAGCATTCAGAAGTTCTGCAAGGTATTGGTTTGTCCTCTATGAACATCGTCTTTCTTTGACTGAATGTCTGGTGATGTCTACTACTCTTCCCGTTTCATATTATAAGTCATTTTAACATTTTTTTAGTCAAACTTCTTTAGGTTTGATCAAATTTATAAAAAAAATTAGCAACATCTATAACATCAAATTTGTTTCAAAACCATCTGTGATGGTCTACTTTTACATATACTCCATCTATCCCGCATATATTATTAATCTTGCACCAGTCAGTCTACTGATGGTGACTTTCACTTAACCACCTTCTCTTCATAGTTTTAATCCTAGGTATCTTAAAAGTTTGTAGCAACTTGATACTTGGATGGGGAAACAAGAAAAATCTTGGTTAATTATGTTGTTGTGTTAAGCATTGTATATGAATAATAGTCTCTCCTGACTTTGCAGAACTGTCTACTACTCTATCCCTAAAAAAAGGTAAACTCTAGCTTTGAATCTAGACACGCTGGTGTCCAGGTTCGTAGCTAGGATTGTACTTTTTTTTTTTGGGACAGATGGGGTAGACTCTAGAGTATTTCATGACTGATGGAATTGACAGACTGACTCCTAAAAGGTAAGAATTTAAAAAACTGTTAGTCTGAAACTGAGTGTTGATCTAGCATGACTTACAACAAAATGGAAAAAGAAAATTCCCTGCCTGATGGAACAAAAATAATCTATGTTAAAAAAACTAAAAAAAATCAAGTGAACCCCTTCTAGAAAAGTAGTTAATGACATGTATAATGTTTATTCTTGGAAAACAAATCTTGTTTTTCTTCCGAAATTGGAGCTTTAATAGTGGTGAAACTGCTGATTGTGGTTAAGTGGGATCAGGTATTCTTGGCACCTAAGTACAGCTGGAGTATGTTGAAATTATATTATATATCATGATCAAGGATGCAGACTACCCTGTAGTTTGTTTAGCAAGGATATACCCTGCTTTTATTAATTGAAATCCATAATAAGAGAGTTTTACTTGGGGGGAGAAGGTAGGGAGACCCAACTATATATCAGAATTTGAACAGAAACGAGGTAACAGAACACATATAGGCATGAATCATTAGAAGAACAGAGCAACTCCAGGAAGAGATTTGTGAATAACCATTTACGATTGAAAATCACTAATTAATTATTTAAGAACAACAGCACAATGATTCTAATCCCAGTTCACACCTCGTAACTTGAAGATAATGGAAGTAAAACCAACATATAGTTAACTATGCAATAACATATCACATGTATCCATGTGACTTCTTTTTGGCAGAAGTGAAAAAAAAGGCACATTTCGAAGCAGAGACAGCCATGTTACAGTTTTTCGAGGACAGCATATTCTAAATTAACAAGATGCCATGTTTAAACAAAGCTATGGTGGGTACTACAATATGTTATATGTCAGGTGTGTGCTTTAAGGCAAATAATCAATTGTGGGCTGTTAACTTACTGTCGGGAGGAAGGGGATGTGCAAGATCCACCTCATGGGAGATACAACACCGTTCTATCATCCACAGCCACTGCATCTTCATTTCTTCCCCTCTCATTTACTAGTGAACCACATCTTGACTAGGGTTAGACAAAGAGGTCAACATGGCTGGAGCTATAGTGAGTGTTTCAACTGGTGCCCTGAGCACCCTGCTTCCTAAGCTCTCCCTGTTGATACAAGGGGAGTACAAGCTTCTCAAAGGCGTGAAAGGTGGGATCTCCTTTCTGAAGGATGAGCTGAGCAGCATGCATACCCTGCTGGTGAAGCTGGCGAACAACGAGGAGAAGTTGGATGAGCAGGTGAAGGATTGGAGGAACAAGGTGCGTGAGCTTAGCTATGATATTGAAGACTGCATCGACCTTTTCCTGCACAAGGTGAGCAGTTCTAATGCTAAAGCGGGCCTTGTCCGGAAGATGGCAGCTAAAATTAGAAAGTTATGGTGGCGCGGTGGCGCCACAAAATCGCGAACCTAATTGAAGAACTTAAGGCTCGTGTTATAGAAGAAAGTTATCGCCGCTCGAGGTATAATTTTGATGAAGTTGCTGAAAAATTTAGCCATATTCAAATTGATCCTCGACTCCCAGTGCTCTATGTGGAAGCAGAGAAGCTTGTGGGGATCGATGGTCCTAGAGAGAAGATTATCGAGTGGCTGGAAAATGATGAATCTCATAAGCTCAAAGTAGTATGCATTGTGGGCTTTGGAGGTCTTGGAAAGACAACTCTTGCAAACCAAGTTTATCACAAAATGAAAGGTCAATTTGATTGTTCTTCTTTTATGCCAATTTCACGGAATCCTAATATAACAAAGATACTAGCTGATTTGCTCAAAGAATTGGGAAGTAGTGTTGATACATCAGATGATGAGCGGCAGCTCATATGCAAGCTCAGAACATTCCTACAGTGTAAGAGGTATGTAGAAAAAACTGCAAATGGTGTTTTTCCATATATTTTAACCATGTTTGAATATATTTCCCATGTTAAAATAGCTAGCACTGTAAAGCGCTTGTAGATTCTGATCTTCAATTTTTGCTAGATTGTAATATCTTTGCAAGAAAAAAAAAAGAAAAACTTGATGGGCACTCCGCTCATTGGTGCTTGCTTAACATTGGCATGATGAAATGTAAAATGAAAGGGGCAATCTGCACAGAATAGTTAGAACCTTTAAGTAAAGGCTAAAAATAGTGATACTGTGGCTTCTTCATAGATCATAAAAATAAACCATCCATAGTTTCAGTGATTATGTTAAGGATTAGCTATATAAGCAATGCAATTCTGGAACAAATAAGATGGCATTGAACTTATGGTCTTGTATTTACATCTATGCCAAATATTACAAAGTAGTTCGTTAAATTTTAGAAGTGATTTGGCACGATTCATATAAAGTGCCGAGTTCATCAAAAAGAAATACTTCTTCCATTTTATATTTTAAGTAGTTTTGATTTTCTTAGTCAAACTTCTTGAAAGTTTGACCAAGTGTATAGAAAAATATAGCAACACTTATCGCACTAAATCCGTTGAAAATATTTCTAGATTTTTCTATAAATTAGAAAAAATGCCCGTGCGTTGTAACGTGTGAAGTTTATTTTAATTTTATTATTATTATATGGTTTAGTTAAGATGAAATTCACTGTGGGAGTTCGCTTGGATATATATATTTTTAGAAAATCATGAGCTGCAATTAAGAGTCCGATCGTCTCAAGTTAGCATGTGAGTTTTTTTAAACATATTTCTTACATGGTTCCTTCAGTATTATCAAAAGTGAACGATCTTAATTAAAACCGACTCAAATACAGATTTGTATTTCCAAAAGTAAATAAACTTAAAAACCGAATCATATATGGATGGCGTACCAAAATACCGGCAAAAACATCTTTAATTTTTATTATAGTAGAGACTTGGTCAAACTTTCAAAAAGTTTGACTTAAAAAATCAAAACGACTTGTGATGAAATGGAGGTAGTAATAGCAAGTCTGGTGTGTGGCCGTCTCAAGCAGGGAATACATGCTGTAGCTGCAACAAATGACAAACTCCACCTTAATTAAATATTGGTCTCGTTTCACCCAAATGGCCAATCTAGTAAACTTTTACAATGTAGTTTTCAAATGGGATTGATGTTTTTTGGAGCAGGGCAGCATGGTATTTGCTGAAAATGACTGCACAATACATAGCTTGTTCGTTTTAAACTCTATGATTTATTAACCAGATCACGTTTTCTCAATGCTAACCAGGTACTTGGTCATTGTTGATGATATTTGGAGCACAAAAGCATGGGAAGTTGTCAAGTGTGCTCTCCCAGAGAACAATTTATGCAGTAGAATAATTTCAACGACAAGAAATGCAGATGTTGCAACATCATGCTGCTCCAGTTTAGCAGGATATATCCATAACATGCAGCCCTTAAATGAGCAGGACTCTCAAAAGCTATTTTATAAGAGGATTTTTGGGGACAAGTTAGCATGCCCTCCTTACCTTGAACAAGTCTCTCATGGAATCATTAGCAAGTGCCATGGATTGCCATTAGCTCTTATCAGTATAGCTAGCCTGCTAGCTGGAAAATCACGTCTGAAGGAGCAATGGGAGCAAGTGTACAATTCTATTGGTTTTGCATTTAGTCAACAAGGAATTAGAGATATACTGCTGCTTAGCTACTATGATCTTCCGATTCATCTGAAAACTTGCTTGCGATATCTTAGTGTATTTCCAGAGGATTACGAGATTGATAGAGAAGAGCTAATATGGAGATGGATAGCTGAAGGCTTCATCAGTGAAGTGAAAGGTCAAACACTGGATCAAGTTGCTGAGAATTACTTCAATGATCTTGTAAACAGAAGCATGATCCATCCAGTTGACATCAAGTACGATGGCAGGGCAGATGCTTGTAAACTGCATGATATGGTACTCGACCTTATAATTTCCCTGTCAACACAGGACAATTTCACCACCATAGTAGAAGGGGAACAATATAAATGTCCTCCTAATAAGATTCGTAGGCTCTCAATACATTCAAAATGTCTGGAAGATGAAGTAATGCAGGAGATTATGACAAATTGCTCACAAGTTCGTTCCATCAGCTTCTACGGATTGCAAGATCAGGAAATTAGTCTTCTCCCAACTCTTAATTCTTTGAGATTACTAGCTTTTGAAAACTATTGGCACCGACATGGTAACAAAAACATTAAATATCTTGGAAGGTTTTTCCAGCTGACATATTTGAAGATCAAATCTATCACTGAGCTTCCAGAGCAAATCGGAGACCTGCGAAATCTACTGACACTAGACATACGTAGCAGTAGGGTTGAAAAATTGCCATCAACAATAGGTTGTTTGAAAAATCTGGTGCGTCTACTTGTAGATTATAATGTGGAATTGCCCAATGAGATTGGAGATCTACAAGCCTTGCAGCAGCTGTCACGTGCTTCCGTAGTATTTGTTGAACAGCTGAAGCGGTTGACAAACCTAAGGGCGATTGACATAGACCTGCGTGGTAGCGAACAACTTGGTGATCATGATACGGCAAGGTATATGGAAGCTTTGAAGTCATCTCTTGCTGTGATGGGTAAGCTTCAAATATTGCAAATATCCTATGGTAATGATACGGTGATAGGAGAAAAACTCATGGATTTATTATGCTACTCACCATGCGTCCGAAAGCTTGTCATAGATAATTGCATATTCAGTCGGCTATCAAAGCAGCTGGGGTTGCTTGTTAACCTCAGGCATCTTGAAATAGGGGTTCGCAACATTAAGCAGGACGATCTCTGCGTTCTTGGAAGCATACCCACTCTGCTCTTCGTCAGGTTATTTGTAAAAAATGAACCTGATGAAAGGCTTGCCATCGGCAGCCATCAATTCCGATGCCTCAAGCAGTTCATCTTCAAAAACCACGGAGGTGGGCTGGAGATGTTGTTTATGCAGGAAGCAATGCCTGAGCTCCGATGGTTGTCTCTTGAATTCAGAGCGCGACTAACAGACTGCAAGATGGGTTTTGAGTTCGACTTCAAGCACCTTGCAAGCCTGGAGCACCTCGAAGTCTCAATCAATTGCCATTTCGCCACCTGGAGTGGGGTGGAGGCTGCAGAAGCTGCGGTCAGGAATGCAGCCAGTGCCCACCCAGGATGTCCCACAGTAGAAATCAATAGAGTCTGGGAAAGTTACATGGTAGATAATGAGCAAGGAGGAGGCGTGACATATGATCAATAACTGAAATTGCAGTTTGCAACAACACCTTATGTGAGATTCCACTTCTACTGCTGCTTATAATTTGCCTGAGACTGAGGCTAAACTGCTAGCCACATGATCACTATTGATGCATGGTAACTAAGTAATCAGAGCTTCCAACTCAGAATCATCATCATTTGGTTTTGTCTAATTACTACTGGTATGTCAATACTGGAGTAGATCTTCCAGATTTTGATTTGTAAACACATTGAGCTTTAAGATTTCAAATGTGGGTAGCCTGACTGTCAATGAGCACATCTTGCTTGAGTTGCACTTTACTCAACGAGTCGACGTACACTGAAAGTCTGCAAGACATTATTAATCACTTCTACAATTACTAAACTTGTCTAAATGGATCAAGACAAGAAAATATGCACTAATGATTTATTGCTGCAACAATTGTAACCGACAAAAAAGAAAAGATATATCTTAGAGCTTACAATGGAACACTGGAGCAGTTGGTAACACTTTATATGACAATATCGATTATCAGGGCAGAATGAATATCTTGCCTGCAAATGGAGCGTCATGGGTGTTATCACAGTATTCAGTTGTGATGATTGTTGCTCAATGTTCTTTGTTTCTTATGTATGGTACAAGTCAAGGTAAACTAGACCAAGGTTTAATTTAGTGCTTTCTACTTTTAATTGGTGCGCCACCTGTTGCATGTTCCTATTGTTGTCATTCAACAAAGACAAAAATGATAAAAATGATAATTATCTCCGTAGGTTCGTTTGGGTCCTAGGGGGCTGTCGAAGTCAATCTTACTGAAAGCTGTTCAACGTGTGACAAAGAGTGTAAAATTATGATCTTTAAAAATTTTCCTCCCTCCGTTCCTGTATACATCATATTTAAAATTTAACCACTTCTATTTTAAAAACAAATTTGGAGCTATTTAAAAATATAACATATTATCCAAGTATGTTCGTGTTAATATAACTGTACAATTTTGGTTTAACGAACTACAATAATTTAAAATTAATTGTTGGTAAAAGTTCAAACCTAACTGGTTAATAGTTAATGGTGACAAGTAATGAGAGCCTTCCGCTGTGTTCAGAAAAAGGTTAACATTATTTTTCAGAACTTCTAAAGGAAAAACATGATGTTACGTGGAAAATAGGTGACAATGCCATGTGTGACTATGAGGTAAAGCAAAGGGAGGTGAATAGAGAACTAATAAATGATTGAATTGGATGGATAAGTAGTTTCTTGATCCAACGGTTGCTATCTTTATACCAATGTGATCTGATGGTTTAAAATTGTTGATGATATGGATTCTTGCATATCTTTCTTTATATGAGTAAATGCGTTTTAGTGGGAATCAACTATGTAGTAAGATAGGATTCATTAGAGAAATATTTGTTTGAAAATACATTTTCTAAAAAGAATTTCTTCTGTGGTAATACTTTTAAAACTTATTTGTTAAAATATTGAATTTATTCTTAAATAGATAATTCACGGTAATAATCCTTTCAATAATATGAATCAAACGGCCCAAAACTGAATAGTCCGGATTCTTTTGTGTCGTTCAACCAGAAGAAAGGTTGGTTTGCGTTTCTTTTTTTTAGTTATTATATTTGGACTTTCTTGCTCTAGTCAATCTAAAAAGAAAATAATCTCTACTATTTAAAAAATCGGGATTGGTGATGGTGAAGCCAACGTAGAGGTGTGATCCAACCTGGAAAGGTACATCGACACGAAAAAAAAAACGGCGGACGCTCCTCCGCAACGCGAGAAAAAAAAAGAAAAAACCCCGCACGCCTCCACACCATTGCCACCCCCCAATCCATCACCCACCGCTGCCGCCGCCGACTCCTCCCTACCAATGCCAAAACCCTAGCCCCGCGCCGCCCCCGCCCCCCCCCCCCCCACCCCCACCGTCACTGCCCCCCCTCCCCACCCCCCAATCCATCCGCCGCCCCCCAATCCGTCACCCACCACTGCCACAGCCGCCGACTCCTCCCTACCAATGCCGAAACCCTAGCCCCGCGCCGCCCTCAACTGCCGTCGTCGCACATCCCCCCACCGTCGCTGCTCTCCCAATCCGTCGCCCGCGCTGCCCTCCCGCCGTCGTCGCATTCCGCCACCCCCCGCCATCGCCGCCCCACTAATCCATCCTCCGCCCTCCCCACATCGCCGCGCCAGCGCCCACATCATCACCGTCGACCGTTCGACATCACGGCTCTCCTCTCTCTCGCACTCACCCTGTTACCCGACGCCGCCGACTCCTCCCTCCTCTCTCATCGCGCCTTCCCCTACTCGTACCACTGCCGAAACCCTAGACCCGCACCGCCCTCGACCGCCACCCCTCCACCGTCATCGCATCCCGCCTCCTCCCCGAGTCCGGCGACAACTATTCCCAAGGTTGGTGTACTCCCCATCCTCTTGGTCCTAGGTCTCTAAATCTGCATATTCACATGTTAGTCTCATCCGTATGGTAGTTTTTTTTTTTTTTTGGTTTCATTGCCGTCATTGGATGAAATACTTCACATCTTGTTGACATTTATAGTCAATCTTTCACTGTAAAATTGTGGGTAAGAAATGGTGTGCCTCTGATAATTCTTTGGTGTCAATTTTTCTATGTGATTGCTTATATCTACCAAACTGACTTAACCTTTTATTTCAAAAGATTTAATCTGTAGGACAAAAGTTCAGGGTGTCCAAGCAAAGCTGACAGGACACCATGCATAATCGAGATCAAATTATTATTTGCATGTGTGACAAAATACTTGCTCTTTAATTTTCTTTCCACCCACTATAGCATACATCAGTGATATAATTGAAATCAAATTTTTATGTGCATGTGTGTGGATATTATGGGTACCCCATACCCATACGGCATGGTTATCCGACTAGTCATAGGGGATAACTTATATCTATGGAATATGTAATAGATCATGACTCGGGTATTACGTTTCCTTATATATTACAGAACAGGGTTTGATAATATTGTAAAGTAGATTTAGGAAACCGATACCGTATTGGTTAAGGTTTCTATCTTGTAATCCTGCCCCCCACCCTATATAAGGTGGGCAGGAGGCCCTCTAGGGGGCATGACACAACCTGATCGTCAGATCTATACTACACCCGGCGGATTCAAATCCCCAAACAGGAGTAGGGTATTACCTCTCATTGAGAGGGCCTGAACCTGTCTAAATCCTTTGTCTCTGCATCCATCCACTTTAGGTCTCGTACGCTACCCCCTTTTATTATTGCCGAATTCATGTTTCGACAGTTGGCGCGCCAGGTAGGGGTTGCGTCGAGTTTCCTATCAACGAGCGCGATGGAATTAACTTCATGAGTCGCCGACTTCGTTTTCGCTTCGGGAGTTTTCACTTCCTTTCCGTCGACCACTTCTTCAAGCTCCTCTTCTCTGACTTGATCCAAATCAGTCAGGGGGAAACTCAATCGAGGGATTACAACAATCTACCGCGGCAAGTTTCAGATTCAATCTCCTATGGCTGCCGTCAGCACCGCCTTCATCTTCGGACCGGTTCTTTTCTTCTGGAGTTCGGCTTGCATCGCCGCCGCCGGAATTTCCGACGGGACGTCAGTCGTCAACTTGATCGTTTGACATGCTGAGTCCATCATCTGATGATGTCAAATCTCCTGGCGATATTCAATTACTAATCTAAATTGGAGTCGACATGGAATCTGAGCCAATCAATAGGAGCAATTTTCACGCAGGGAAGTGCAGCACTCATGCATGTATTGCATGTCTGTCACAAGCTACCGATATGATCTCCTGTCCACCCATTAACACATATATACGGAGGACACTGAGAAAAAAGCTAAGTGCCTTTATTTTTCCTCTTTATGTGATATTTTCCATTGAGCAATTTTTTTATATCCACTCATGCTAACTACTCGTCCAGCGCCGGACGCCTAGTTTTATCATTATTTATCATATTGATTTTTAATCTCAGATTAATCTCTTGTTATTTTTTGTTGTTGTTCGCATATAATTACGCGGCACTATTGAGGCGATTAATGCTGGTCATGGAGTCGAGGCGTCTCAGCTTTCCGGTCGATCGGCCGCGAGTCCACTTTGCCGGCTTGTCTTCGCCACCGCCATTGCTGATAACAACAACGACTTCACCGCCGGCCTGCCTCCGTCGCCGCCGATTGGTGCTTCCGCCTACACGGCTGGCCTATTATGCCGCCACTGTTGGGCGTCTATGACTTCACCGCCGGCCCGCCTCCGTCGCCGCCGAGTGGTGCCTCCGCCTACACGGCTGGCCTATTATGCCGCCGCTGTTAGGCGTCTACGACTTCACCGCCGGCCTGCCTCCGTTGCCGCCGAGTGGTGCCTCCGCCTACACGGCTGGCCTATTATGCCGCCGCTGTTGGGCGTCTACGACTTCACCGCCGGCCTGCCTCCGTTGCCGCCGAGTGGTGCCTCCGCCTACACGGCTGGCCTATTATGCCGCTGCTGTTGGGCATCTACGACTTCACCGCCGGCCTGCCTCCGTCGCCGCCGAGTGGTGCCTCCGCCTACACGGCTGGCCTATTATGCCGCCGCTGTTGGGCATCTACAACTTCACCGCCGGCCTACCTCCGTCGCCGCCGATTGGTGCTTCCGCCTACACGGCTGGCCTATTATGCCGCCGCTGTTGGGCGTCTACGACTTCACCGCCGGCCCGCCTCCGTCGCCGCCGAGTGGTGCCTCCGCCTACACGGCTGGCCTATTATGCCGCCGCTGTTAGGCGTCTACGACTTCACCGCCGGCCTGCCTCCGTTGCCGCCGAGTGGTGCCTCCGCCTACACGGCTGGCCTATTATGCCGCCGCTGTTGGGCGTCTACGACTTCACCGCCGGCTTGCCTCCGTTGCCGCCGAGTGGTGCCTCCGCCTACACGGCTGGCCTATTATGCCGCCGCTTTTGGGCGTCTACGACTTCACCGCCGGCCTGCCTCCGTCGCCGCCGATTGGTGCTTCCGCTTACACGGCTGGCCTATTATGCCGCCGCTGTTGGGCGTCTACGACCTCACCGCCGGCCTGCCTCCGTCGCCGCCGAGTGGTGTCCTCGCCGATACGGTTGGTTGGTCATACCACCGTTCATGGGCGTCCACGTCTTCGCCGACCGGCTGGCCTTCGCCGCCGCCGACTGGTGTTTTTGCCTATACGGTTGGCGGACTTCGCCGCTGTTAATGGGCTTCATCATCTACACCACTGGCTTGGTTCCACTGGCGCCGACTGGTGTTTTTGTCACCATTGATGGACTGCTTCGTTCCCACATCGGCTACTTTTGCTGTCACCGAGGGAATATTACAAAGCTAAGTCATCATTTATTTTATTCTTTATATGATATTTTGTCTTTTCCTTCGCCTCACTACATCAACTGGTTCGCCGTTGACTAGTGAGTCGGGGGCTATAGATGTTATATCGTATTTTTTAAACAATTTTCATAATATTTATCTTGATTGCTTGCGACATAATCTGAGTACAAAAGTACCTATCGAGTTATGGAGTTCTATCTTCCTATGCTTTCCGTTTGGTTTGCCAATGGATGGTTGCCTTTGGGCCGATTCCTAGCACCCGGGGGCTCGTTGGATGGACCGAGTAACGCAAGGTGCTAAGTATTATTCGGAATAAATCAAAAGCATAGAGATGAGATAAATTTATTTTCTGCTCTTAATAATTGCAAAAGTACCTAAGTAGTAAATTCTGATCCGTGAAACTTTGTTCCATTAATGACGAACTCATGTCACTCATATGCATGTTTGGGAAATGCCTAGGCCGACTCCCAATGCTTGGGGGCTATGACTAGTCGGACAGAGTGTTTAAACGTACAGAGTCATCTGCTCGGGGAAATCAAAATTGACAAGAGGAGAAATACATATTTATCAATATTTTAAAATACTTGATTTTTTCTCGAGTATTATATTTATATCAGATACTACTCATCCTATATGTTTGTTCTGCAGGATCCAGATCCAGATATGCATCAAAGGGATTCATGGCTTTAAGCTTATCTCTTACGCTCCAGGAATGGATCAGTCAGAACATCACCAACCGGCCGCCTCGTCTGCCGCCGACTGGTGCTTCCGCCTGCACGGCTGACTTATTATGCCGCCGTTGTTGGGCGTCTACGTCTTCACCGACCGGCTTGCCTTCGCCGCTGCCGACTGGTGTTTCCGCCTGCACGGCTGGCCTTTAATGCCGCCGTTGTTGGGCGTCTACGTCTTCACCGACCGGCTTGCCTTCGCCGCCGCCGACTGGTGTTTCCGCCTGCACGGCTGGCCTTTAATGCCGCCGTTGTTGGGCGTCTACGTCTTCACCGACTGGCTTGCCTTCGCTGCCGCCGACTGGTGTTTCCGCCTGCACGGCTGGCCTATTATGCCGCCGTTGTTGGGCGTCTACGTCTTCACCGACCGGCCGCCTCGTCAGCCGCCGACTGGTGTTTCCGCCTGCACGGCTGGCCTATTATGCCGCCGTTGTTGGGCGTCTACGTCTTTATCGACCGGCTTGCCTTCGCTGCCGCCGACTGGTGTTTCCGCCTGCACGGCTGGCCTATTATGCCGCCGTTGTTGGGCGTCTACGTCTTCACCGACCGGCCGCCTCGTCCACCGCCGACTGGTGTTTCCGCCTGCATAGCTGGCCTGTTATGACGCCGACTGATGCTATCTTCTTCACGGTTGGCTACGTCGCCGTCACCGCTAATATGCGTCATCATCTTCAACGCAAGCTGTCTACGTCTGCCGCCGACTGGCGCTTTTATCGTCACAATTGCGCGTCTTCACTACCAGTTTGCTTTTTCACCTCATCACGGCAATGCAACTTTGTCATCATGGATTTCTACTTGGACATCTTCAACACTTATCTTCAATCAAGCAATGACTACTCGATGATAAGAAGCTATAATTCTCGACTCTATGTTCAGTTGTTTCCCAACTAAACAAAGAGTCGGGGGCTACACAAATACATGGCTCAAAATTCGACAAGCTTTATGTCAAAGATGGAGCAATCAATTAATCAGCCAACGAGTCAACTCCAGGAGTCATTATCTTCATCTTTACTTCGGAGCAGACAATCTACTTCAACAACATCAAATATTTCGGTTTAGACGAGTTGGACAACAGCATCAACTCTCCTCCAAGTGAAGCATCTACAACAGTTATAACATTAATTTGATGGATTATTGTCACTGACATCATCACCAGCACCTCTGCTTCATCGACCCTGACATCTCTGCTGTTGCTAATGGATGATTATGTTTTCGCCGACTTATTATTTCACCTTCACGGTTGACCTACTATGCAAATGCTGATGAGCGTCTTTGTCATTATCATTGGTTGCTACACTGCTATTGGCTGGATCACCGACATCGTCATCTTCATCATGTCGGTTGCGTTTGTCGTCGTCAACTACACAACTTTATCGCTGAGCGCCTTCATATTCATTGCTGGCTGACCTGACTGCCGCCGACTGGTTTCTTCGCCTCCATGGCTATGCGACTTCAGTACTTTTGATTGGTATCACTATCTTCACTACCACCAATATTTTTGCCACCTCTGGTGGGCAATATTCTCTCTATATTGGTTGTCTTGTCTCTATGCCAACTGCGTCAGCTACCATCAATGAACAATTGTGACTACGTGCTCAGGGGCTTACTAGCTCAAATACAAGTATTATATCTTCAATTTGGACTTGCTCCGGATACATGCAACATGAATTCATGATCATGGGTCTATTTTATATGCTCAAAGACTGGACTATTTATTATTCCCCGTAAGGGTTATCAACTGAATACTTGCGCCAATCGGGATTCAATTGTTACATCTATTTTGGAGTATCCCATAAGGGATAACCACTCAGATCAGAAGCTATTCATATGAGCTACGCTTGGTCTATATTACCCGGAAGATTTATTACTCGGGAGCATGTTATATGCGTCATCCTTTAAAGGGTGTCGAAGGCATATGTTTTGGCCTAGGCCTAATATGTCTGCAGCCCATATTTTCAGGTGTGGCCTGTCACGTTCTTTTAGGGACTTAGGCACTTTTTGCTTAGGCCAAAGTGCGCGTGATCAAGTGCCCAATACCTTAAAATCCTTTTATACCGCAGTTACTTAACTTTTTAGGAGTTGGTACAATGCATCTTAAAAGGTGTCAAACAGTAAAGCTTTATATAGCTGTCCCGCTGACTTTTTTATATATAAGTCAAGGTGCTGTTTGGGTTTTTAAGCAATTGATTGGATACAATATCATTGCTTTTCGCCACGTAAGTGTGCATTTTTATTGACCAATATTATGGCTTAGGCTGATTATATATTGTGGTCATTTTCTAGGCGGTTGGTAAATCCTTTATGAGTTTATTTACTCGGATTTTACACCACATATGCCATATATTTCTAGGTGTGGTGAAACCATGTGTCTTCTAGGGACTTAAGCACATCTGTTAAAGCAGTGTGCGCATGGCGTATGCCCAATACTTTGGAAATTTCTTTATTCACAATATACAAGCTTCTTTATAGCTATTTTGCTATATCACTCATCATATTTTACAAAGCAGTTGGTATATCACTCGGATCATGTTATTTGGAGGATTCACACCGCATATGCTATATATTGATATCAAGTCACTTGGTTGATTACGATTATCAAAACCACTCGGTTGGTTGGATTATTTATTCCTTGACTATATGCTTGGTTTGTTCAATTAACCACATTGTCGGGGGCTACACCTATTAGGTGCATCTAGTCGGTGCACCTGACTTTATTTTCCAGCCCTCCACAGTCTTCAGATTTGATAAAAGTACTCGGGAGACCATGACAAAGATGATTGAAGCACTCGGCTTTGGAGTAATCTGGTTCGAGAGAAGATTATCTTTTCGACTGCGAAGGTCTCAGGGGCTACTGTGGATATTATGGGTACCCCATACCCATACGGCATGGTTATCCGACTAGTCATAGGGGATAACTTATATCTATGGAATATGTAATAGATCATGACTCGGGTATTACGTTTCCTTATATATTACGGAACAGCCTAAAGTCCTGGTTTGATAATATTGTAAAGTAGATTTAGGAAACCGATACCGTATTGGTTAAGGTTTCTATCTTGTAATCCTGCCCCCCACCCTATATAAGGTGGGCAGGAGGCCCTCTAGGGGGCATGACACAACCTGATCGTCAGATCTATACTACACCCGGCGGATTCAAATCCCCAAACAGGAGTAGGGTATTACCTCTCATTGAGAGGGCCTGAACCTGTCTAAATCCTTTGTCTCTGCATCCATCCACTTTAGGTCTCGTACGCTACCCCCTTTTATTATTGCCGAATTCATGTTTCGACAATGTGTGACAAAAAGAAGTTATTATCTGCACGCGTTTCTCAATTTTAGATAGCAGGCCTAATCTTTTATCGAGCTAGGAGAAGCCTTGAGTGCCCTGGTTAGGAACAACCTGGAGCTATGGTTGATGAATCATGAATAAAGAGTTTTCGGTTCTGTTGTAGCTGCCAGAATGGAAAATGCCTGACCATAGCTCTGAAGATGAGTACATCTTTTGCAAGTCTTGATCTGTGCACCTCTTCAACTGATGACCAGCATGAAAAAAATATGATTATGATTAGGCTTTTTGCAAGTCTTGGATTTGTGCACTTTTTAATTAGGGATGGATGGCAATATGCCAATATGATTGCCGTAGCTTGAGGCTTTGAGGTTGATGAAGGGTACAGTGCTTCTTCCTGACTTTTTTTTTTTTTTCAAAATAGCTTTCTCAGTGCCTTTTTGTTTGCTTATGAATTTATAGCATCTGTGTAGAGTTAATGATTTTATATGTCATAAACCAGTTCTTTCATGACCGAAATAAAAATCTAACTCTGAAGCTACAATTTTATCATCGTTTTTTGTGAACCTAAAGAGACAATTACCTACAGATTTGTATCAGGAAAAACAATCTCAGTATCCTTAAAATTAGCTAGGTATTCAGTATGAAATTTATATGTGAACAGGATCATATGTTCAGATTAATTTCGTTTAAGTATACATACTGATATTAATTTGATGATCTACTAATAAGTTCGAATGCCTTAGAAGAAAATAATTATGCCTTTTATTTATTCTTCTGACACAGTCCAAGTCTGTTTGGAGAAGGAAACATGCTAGGAAACAAAGTGTGGTCATGGTCCGCCGCAAGAAAAGAGGTGCATTTCGTACTATATATACTTCTTTTCTCTATTGGATCATTTAGTGTGAAAATCCAACATTTTTTTTGGCTCTAAGTGAACAGATGTTTTTTTGAAGGGCTCGGGTCATGAAAATTGAACTGTGATTATCCAATGGTTATTGTTATTACTGTTGCAACCGGACGCCATTTGATGTTATGCTTGGACGGATGAACACATTCAGATTTATTATTACTTGGAGACAAGATGTCAAATATATGTTCTGGTCATCCATGGGAACTGTTTGGGAGGGTTGTGTTTGCACACGCTTTTGCTTGTACATAAAGATTTATGTTCTAGAAACCAGTGGAAATCATTTTTGGTCTGCAATTGGCTGTCGTAAACTGAATCATTTTTGGCAATGGGAATGCGATCAATTTGCACACATTTAATTATAGGTATTTGTTGTGTACCATGCATTAGTTTGTACTTGTGCATTAATCTTGAAGTTCACTGGTCTACGAGGGAAACTTCGTTGGAGGGCGGCAGCTGTCATGGTTCATGGATGCATACGAGGTGACCCTCCTAATCCAGTGGATTGGCCACCATTATTGGTTAATATTTTTTTTGGTTCCTGATTTCCTTGCAGCACTACGCCATCTGGCGGCTGACAAGCCAGCAAGTACGAGCATGTTGATTAGTTGTGCATCTTTATTCCATGCCACCATCATATTTCTGTGCATTCTAGGCAGCATTGACCAGTAGCACTCTGCCAGGAAAGTGGCTAATAATGTATCTCGTTGCTACTTATCCAGATCTACATATAATCTCTTTGGTAGTAATCTTTGACTAATCCATGCTTCATCCTCGGTTTGTTGAATTGCATTTTAGGAAAAGCAACAATGGGAATCTGGAGCACAAGTCAGCAATGGCGATCTACAGAAGATAAATCAAACCTGCGATCTGAATGAAGCTCATAGTTTTTCCTAACTCCTTAGTACTACTACTTAGCTGATTCTGATTAGATATATATCTGTTGATGGTTTCGAATTAATTTCTACACAATATGATATTTTGAACTTTTCCTTCAAAATATTTGAAATATGACATTCATCAAATTAAAGCTCAATTGGACTAGATCTGTGAAAATTAGTTTGACTAACATTTCTTATGAAATTTCAGACTTCGGTGCGTCTTATAGTCACAATGTAGTAAGACTTGTTCATTCTGGATTGTAAACTCTGGAAAATGGTTGGGGTGGTCACCTGCTGTTAATGCATTCTATAATTAAAAAATTAATTATCTTCAATTTACTTTTTATGAGTCTTAAATCTATATCTCTTTCCATGCTGGCTTGCCAAAACATATAATGCCTTTTGTTTGTTTCATTTGGGCTACTATAAGGAGTGCATATTGTTAGCACCAGGTGTTACTTGGAGCTGTTCATGTTACTAACATCCAAAATCTGTAATTATTTTCCGTGTAATTATTTTCCGTGCTATATTAAGTTTTCTATTCCAAGAAATTCACTCATTGATGACTTAACATCATTTGACCCATAGTGATTTTAAATTTATGTATAATTTTTTTCCCGTTGCAACGCACGGACACCCAACTACCCAACTAGTAATTAATATTTTGAAAAGATTGTTTATATAGCATAAGGAAAAGCGTGTCTAGTTTTGTACTGTAGTAGACACTTTTCAAATTATTACCTCTACTTTTTAATATATGACGCCGTTGATTTTTTTACATTATGTTTGACTATTCGCCTTATTAAAAAATTTAGGTAAATTTCTTTTGTTGTGGTTTGATTAATTTATCACTAAAAGAACTTTATGCTTTATTTATCTCTACTACTTTAAAATTCTGTAGTGGTGACTGTGACTCCAACGTGACAGACACGTTTTACTCTATCCGTACGATCACGAAATCCAATGGCCACATTGATCACCTCGCGATTATACCCCTCTGCACGCGCTCCCACCCCCACCTCCACTCCCGCATCCGCCCGCTGCCCGCACTACCCCGCAACGGACGGGCCGCCGCCGCCTGTGCGATCTGCCGCACGCCATCACCCGCACTCCACCCCGACGGTGGCATGTCTGTCGGCTGCTCATCCGTCGCCCTCCCGCCGTCGAACCCCTCCGCTGGCCGTCGCACGACTCTGGGGCGACGGTGGGAGGAGGCGAGCTCGGCGGCAGGCAGACGTCCCCCTCAGCATTTCCGCTCCGCTGCCTTTGCAGCGATCTTTCTCACGCTCAGCAACCCCACCAATCCTGCCGCTTTTACGGTGCCGACGGTGACCTCCTGTGCCCATATCCTGGTACATCTGGTCCACCGATACCCTACTTTTTCCCCTGTTTTTCTTGAATGTGTGATGCCAAATTTTGAGAACGCTATGTCAATATTGTGGATTCATCAATCCCATCCATCTTGCATCGCGACGACCACAGGTATCTGCAAACAATGAATTTCTTCTGATTCGAGTTTCAGAGTTTACAAGCTGGCTGACAGGAAACTGTCCCAGGTGCATAGTGTCCGGTGAGAATTGTTCTATTGATGTATATATTTTCTATTTTCAACTTCTGCAAACCCACATGCTTTCACCTTACGAATTCTTCTTTTGCTTTTTTCTGTGCTCAGATTGATGCTTTAAGGATTGTAACTCCAATTATTCAGATTTTGTGAACCCACGTGCTATTATCTCTAGGTGAGAATCTTAACTCTTGAGTGCTATAGAATATAGGGTTAATTGGATACATGCCATTCGTGGTGGGTGCAGTGGTGCTGGGGATCGATGTGATCCAATTGTTGCAATCTCGGACTGAAATCAGGTTACTAATTAATCTCCAGTACGCTGACCAAACAAATTTGTGTTTTTGTATTGCTTGTGTTATTGAGTCTGTACAGGTCAAATAATGCTTTGTTATGCTTTGATTGCACCAAAGCGATGTCCCTGAGTTGTTTGTGAAATGTGTTTCATTTTTTGCTGTGATCTGGTGTGGAATATGGAAAAGGGAAAGAAACTGCTAATCTGAAGTGATAGAGCAAGCAAAAGGTGTGTCTATATACTTTGCTTTCAAGATGTTTTTGTGGGTAGTTTTTATTATACATGACTTAAATTTGCTGACAGGACAGAACAGCCAATATGAAGTCATTTTCCTTAACTTTCTGTAAATAAGCCACTCCATATGCCTTTTCTTTGGTTAAAATCATCTTACATGCTTGCCATCCAATTGAAATGCTTGACGAAGCATGCTTTTAGTTACTGGTTTTCTCAGTTTACAAAAAATCCATGGAGTACTGTTATGTGCTCGTTTCAATGCAATGCAATCTAAAATCTCTATTGCAAGGAAGGGATAACACCCTTACGGGCTTTTGAGAAGACATGAAAGTTCTCTTCTTGCTGTGTTAATTTTGTCCTGCACATTTCCTGCCTATTTTTATCCACATGTATTCCTCCACCTAGCATCCCTTACATAAACCTGGAAACCTAGAGTTTTCCACTATTTTATTTATAGAAATTAAGAGTTATGCAAGCGTCTCTTGATTAATCCCCATCTTTCCAACCATTCAAATCTTAAGCACATCTCTTTTTCAGAAACGGAAAGATCCCTAAACTGACAGTGAGTGTTATAATTCATTTTTTTTTAATTTTGTCCAAAACTTCGAAGATAGTTGCTCTGAACAAAATTTAATGTCTCGTTAGTTAAACTCTGGCGGCTTATAAGCTGAGTGAAGTAAACTAGCATTGTCATAGGATTAGACTTTTATAGTTATACCCTTGCAATCTAAAATTTAAGGAGGGAAAGCAACGAGAAAACCTCTAAATTAATTCCAAAATTCAAATTTAGCTATGGCTTAGAAGCTGAAGGCCTGCCAATGGAATAGTCTTTAGCACCTAGCACTCTACCAGAGCAAATAGTGTGATCTATAAACAGGTGTTATGGACTTTCTTAGCCGCTATTCTGGACTAAGCCTTAGGATGAGAGAAATCCGAATCATTTAGAAATCTTGTTTACTTTTGAAAGTTACGTCTGCAACCGAAATTATTTATATTTTCATGCATTGTTTATCTCTGCACTAATGATGTCCCATTGCAGTTCACCTACATTGCAACAGGAAAATATTTTCATTATGTCAGAGCAAAATAGTGTACTTTTTTTGACCACCAAGAAATTAGTTTTTGATATATACATGTGGCAATAGAGAAAACGATGTTGAACTGACCAAAGTCTCCATCAACTAATAGCTGAGATGCAATGTACTTGTTGGTTTACTCTTGTTTGCTCATAATATTGAGGTTTGTTAGTCATACTATTCTTTTATCGCTGCTGTTATTTCAAAAAACTGGATGACAGGCTGACAAGGTGCCTTTGGAATTATTGGTTACCGCAGAGTATCAGCTGAGAGTCTCAGACAGGAGTATGTTTCGCTGGTGATGAGATGACAAGACTGAATATCAAGTTGCTGATCAAGTCTCTCCGGGGGAATTGTTTCAAAAGGAGTTAAAGAGTTTGTCTTCAATGAAAAAAAAAAGTAAAAACCCATATTGATGGGACTAACCGATCAGGTCCTTCGTAAAGAGGAGAGCAAAAGCGACATTTGGCAAGATTCCAGAGTAGAGTACAATTAGCATCCTGTTGTTTTAGGTAACATTTCTGCTTTCTTAATTATTCAGAGCGAAAAATAATACAAGGGGAACAAAAACTCTCCATGAATTCTTGTTGTTAGGCCAATCTTTGTTTGCCAGAAGTGATATTTCTATTTTTCATGGTCGACCAAGTGTAATAAACTGAAACTACATACATGAAAGCTTGACTCCCTTTGTGAGCCTGTCAGCCTGTTTTGACTGTAAACTCTATAGCAAGAGCAGAGTTCTCTGTAGAGGGGTTTCTTCTGTCCGCTCTAATGAAGAAGGAAGTTGAATGCTTGTTTAAATGAAGTTCGAACTCTGAGCTTTCATTTCTTTAAGATTTTAACTTGTCAGATTCTCTGAAAATTGGTCTATCGCCTTGGCCTCCTATAAACATAGCGAATGCAATTTTACTGTCTATAAATTAATATAAATATGTTTCAATGCATTTGAGAACCATTGTTGTGAATTCTTATTTTCTAATAAATACTTCACCATTTTAACAATACTTTGATATGGATTGTTTTTTAAAGCATGTTTGTGCGTAGACTATGGTTGGTGGCTTTATCAGTCATGTAATAATCTAGCTCTTAGTGTATTATTGAAATGATTCCCGCTGCAACGCACGGGCAGCTAACTAGTATTTTTAATATTTACGTAAAATTTTTGAATAAGACGAATGGTCAAAATATGATGTCAACAGCGTCATATATTAAAAAACAGAGGGATAAATTATGTGATGATCACCGAAGCTTTTGCGTGCACGTTTATACTACCTATATTTCTATACTTGAAAGACATTTCCTCATGTCTTTATCTACTTCTTAACTAATTAAAAGATTAGTATTTTTCCTTTCGTCACAATCCGTTTCTTCCGTCTGTTCGTCCATCCGCGTGAATTTTCTTCGCCCACGGGTTCGTCCGTCCGCGCGATTTGAGATTAAAATCGAAACCGATACAAAATCCAATTGCGATTGTCCTACTTAGAGAACCCAAATAGAAGGGGAAAAAGGAAAAAAGAAAATTTTACGCTTCACAGAGAATGAAACAAAAAAAGGGGCGAAAATTCCTAACCTCCCCACAGCTGGTTGTCACAGACACCGCGCGGGAGTCCGCCGCCGCCGCCGGCCGTCGCCGACGCGCGCGGGAAGATCTACCACCGCCGCAGGCCAACGCCGACGCGCGCGGGAGTCCACCGCCATCGCCGACAAGCGCAGGAGTCCGCCGTCGCCGCTGGCCGTCGCCGGCGCGCGCGGGAAGATCTACCGCTGCCGCCGGCCGTTGCCGACGCGAGCGGGTAGTACTCTGCCTCCGCCGGCCGTAGCCGATGCCGCCGCGGGGAGACGACGGGGGAGGGGCGCCGGGGCAAGGCCACTCGACGGCGGCGCACTCCCCCTTGGGCGAGTGCGTGCACCGGCGAGAGGGCATGCGCCGGCGCCGCCGATGAGCGCCACAGCTCCGCCGTGAGAGAGGGAAGGGAGGAGAAAACCTAGGGTTTTTGTCGGCGGCCGGGGTGGGGGTGGGGTGGGTTGTCCCTCCGATCTCGATGTCTGGCCGTCCGATCGAAGCCCTAGAGATCAGACGACCGGTGTTGGTCGGGCCGAATTCGGCCCAAGAGGGAGGCGCGCGGCACCCACTTTCCCGGCCCAAGCCCAAGTTGAGGAGTGGGAAAGGGGGAGGTGGTGCGCTCGCGCGCTTAGAGGCTATGGGCCGGCCGAAGGAAGTCCAGTTTAGGTCCCTCGGGGGGGCCGAAGAAAAGAAGTTTATTTCTAGCAAAATGCTCATGCTTCGCTACGGTGTATCAAAACTAAAAATATTTGTTTTTAACCGAAGTTATTTTCACACTGTTTTGTTACTTTTGCTCGCTAGAAAAAGTCTCAAATATAGGTTACACCGCTTTTTTTCTTTTTTTTGGCTAATTAAAATATTTGTATTTTTCCTTTTGTCACATCGTCCGTGCGGTGATTTTTTGTCCGTCGGAGACAAGAGCACAAGAACACATCTTTGAAAGTTCAAGTGCCATTGATTTGATTTTGATGATTAATAACAAATCCAATTATGTGAGACTAATGTTTTTATAAGCATTTCTTTGCCTAGTCTCATGTGGATATGAAAGTGGAGTGTTGGTGGACCTAAATCACAAGGATAAAATGCATGGAGATCAAACTATATGTATCACTCTTTCTCTTCATGTACATATTGATATGTTCGTATATAATATTTCCAAGTGATTGGCATATGCATGTGAGACTAATGTTTTGTTTGAGTATTATCTCTTATTTAGTCTATTTACATTGAGAACGTGGAGATGATGAAGGTATGTTTTTACTTTAATATCTATATTTGAGAAATGCCTTCTATTCTTATATAGGATAAGCTCTCAATGTTTAATATCTTGTTATGCATACTCTTGCTTCACACAAATATTTTGTATGCATACATTTAGGGGGAGCAAATCCTATACTTTAGTTATGCATGTAATCGATCCAAGTTATTCACCTTCATTTAATTGGGATCTTTACATTTGAACATATATTTGAGTACATGACACTTGTGGTGTTGATTAATACTCATCATTTATTCATATCCTTTTATACATGCGATCGGTTGGTCAACATGTGGAGGTTGACAACCGGATCATTGGGACTAATAATTTTATTGAGTTGAATGAAAGAAATAGGTCCCAAGTATTACAAAGGTGTTGATGCTCAAGTGATATCATTACACCTAACAATACCAAGAATGACAAAGTGAAGATATTGAAGATGTGTGATACGAAGTGGCTGTTATGACAAGACGGTGAAGGGCAAGATATGCTCGGTCACGATGGACCATGCGGCGGTGAAGGGCAAGCAAGGAGCTTGGCGCCGAAGAACCAAATCCGGTGGTGAAGAGCGAGTGACGGCTTTGTCATGATGGACCGTGCGAGACCATTTGAAGCTACAAGTAACCGCATCAATCATTTGAAGAATATATGGTGAAACGGTATCGGCATTGGCGCCCCTCAAGACAATGAAAGAAAGATGAAAAAAATGCATTCCTGATGGTATAATTATCTTCTTATTTACATTTGAGTTTAGGAATGCCGTACTATTAAGAGGGATGCAACATCGAGGTGTTTCTGTATGTCTCGGTGCTCAAAGTGACCTATCATAGTGCTACCTTGAGAGAAACCCAAGCTTTAACCTATCCTTTGAGTGGTTTTAGACCTTGTTTTTGATTGAGTTGGGTAGTCCTCTGAGTGAGCTTTCCATAGAGTCCAAGTTCATAAAAAACGGACTCCCGAGCGAAAAGTTATAGTCGTTTTACTCTGTGCTTTTTGGAAAGTCCGAAAAATTACCGGAAACTCCGAAAATCCGAAAAATTTTCGGACATTCCGAAAATGGCTACGAATCTGAGATTTGCTTCTATAAGTTTTCGAACTTGTCCGAAAATGCTTTTCGGAAACTCCGAAAATTACAGTCTTGGCCTCCAATGGCTAGTTTTTGAGGGGCTCGGGTATATAAACTCCTCCACCCCTCCTTTGAGTGGCTGCTGCTCTTGGGGAGTATTAGACACATCCAAAGCCAAATAGCCATCCCCATTTCCCTACCTTTATGGTGCCTCTTTGTGAGGGGGATTTGAGAAGGGGAGAGAGTTGGATTGAGAGAGTAAGGAGTTGAGAGCTAGTGAGCTTCACTCCATCCTTTGTGGTGCCTTTTTGTGAGAGGGATTTGAGAAGGGGAAAGAGTTGGATTGAGTGATTGAGAAGTTGAGAGCTAGTGAGCTTCACTCCATACTTTGAGCACTCGAGTTCATAGCAAGCAAATCTTCGATTGTGTTTGTTACTTTTGGGGACTAAGGTCTCCTAGACGGCTAGGCATCGCCGGTGAGCACCCAAGGTTGTGGTGTGCCACGGAAAGTTTGTAAAGGCTTCGATTTCGCCTCCGCAAGGGAAGAAATCAAGAGTAAAACCGAGGAGTGCATTTGTGTAACCTCATGAGGAAAGGGTTGAAATAGGCCCGGCCCTTGTGGCTCCTCACCGGAGACGTAGGATCCGTGTATCCGAACTTCGGGAAACAAATCACGCGTCTCCTCTCTTGGTTTGCCTATTTGTGCATTCTCTCATATTGTGCTTGAGCTTGTTTTTACCCGATCTACTTGCTTGCTTAATTGATTTAGTTGGTGACCTTATATCTTGTTTAGATACCTTATTTGTCACCTTTTGATTCATATATATTTTGTTTATTTGAGCTACAAGTTCATAGCTAGTGTTTTATTCCATTATCCGCCGAACTTTTCGGTTGAGACCGGAATTTCCAATCTCATATCGGAAGTTCCTATTTGAACCAAAAGTTCTCATCATTCTAATATGCTATGAAGTTCTGATAATTTTTAGGAACGCCTATTCATCCCTCCCTCTAGACGACATTAAGGTCCTTTCAATTGGTATCAGAGCAAGGTCTCTCATTCCGGGCTTCACCGTCTTGAGAGAAGATGTCGACAAGAGGTGAAATGTTCCTAGAACTTCTTTTACTAGATGGTTCAAATTATATATCTTGGAGTACTCATGTGCTTAATATGTTTAGGGCCATGGGTCCTAATATAGAGCGAGTTGTAGATGTGAGTATTTCTCCTCCTAATGATATGGAGCTATCATTTGAAGAGGAAGAGAAATGCACACATCTCAATGCTCAAGCTACTAATGTTTTGTTTAGTGCTTTGAGTGAAGATGTGTTCAAAACCATCATGCCACTTGAAGATGCTTATCTAATTTGGACAACATTAAAGGAAAGATATGACAAGTCCAAATGTGATGGAGAGGATGCTCTTAGGGAAACATCATTTGGTGATTGCTCTACTTTATCGTCTCATCATGACAAGTCCCAAGTGATTATCTCCTCCGACCAAGAAGGTATCACCTCATTATTCATCTCACCAACATGCAAGTATGAGCAAGGTAATAAATTGGTGAATAAGGTTGATGATCTTCCAACTCTCCCTTTGGACTCCAACAACACCGATAATGAAATTGCTATATTTGATTGTGTTGTTGACTCATGCATATCACCTAGCATTAAATGTGTGCGTGTGGATGATATGGATGGATGCACTACTTCCTATAGTACTTGTGAAACTAACCTTTTGAAGGAGGAAGTGAATGAACATCAATAGTTAAATGAAGAATCTACATCATCCATTTGTTCATCTTCCATTGCTGAAGATCATGTCTTTATGGGTGATGATGATGATGACGACTCCGTGGTTGATCACTTGAACAAGGACACAACAATGGTCATCAAGCTCATGAGGGTTATTGAGAAGCAACAAGCATGC